CACACACACACACACACACACACACACACACACACACACACACACACACACACACACACACACACACACACACACACACACACTTTTTTGGCCTCTATTGCAATTTCCTGTTCTACACTCCTCATGCTGCACTTCTCTTGTGTGGTAGCTTCATGAAAAATGACAGTGTTTGTTTGTGGTGTGAGAGTGGACAAGGAGGACGAGATGACGTGTCTGATCAAGGGCTGCAATTTTGTGCTGAGGAACATTCCTCACGAGGCCTTCGTATATGCCAAGCACGCCGACTCCGAGTTCCGCTTCCAGACCACCCAGCCAGACATCTTCCCCTACCTGCTCGTCAACATCGGTTCCGGGGTCTCCATCGTCAAGGTACGAACACTTAACAAACACCAGTGTACAGTGTCAAGCGCCTTCGGGCTCACATTGCGAACGTCACATGAAGAAACCCAGAAAACAGGTAAGCCATGATATTCGCAAATGAAAGCCTGAGCGCACCCTGATGGCAGTAGACGGCAGTGGGCGCTAAAGGACAAAATTTAAGCACCTTCAGATTGATGAACACGGATGTTTTAATGTTCTTAATTCTTATTCCATAAACACAATGCTATGCATGCACTGCAACGTGTCATTTCTTGCTCTCTTATTCTCCTGACAGGTGGAATCGGAGGACAAATTTGAGCGTATCGGCGGAAGCTCGATAGGTGGAGGGACATTCTGGGGACTTGGGGCTTTACTCACCAAAACAAAGGTATTTATTTTATTTTTTTAACTGTCATGCAATTGTAAAATGAAACCGACCGCTTACCCATGACAGCATAAAGCAGCTAACCAGTCTAAGCTAACACAGCAGTCTACATTTCTACTCAGAACTCCTTGACACAAACACATGGGCACAAATTCACAACATTCCAAATTAAAGTTTTTCTTTTTTTTTTTTTTTTTTGACAAAAAAAAAAGGGGGTAATAACACTAGATAACACTGTTGATTACAAGCATAGGACAGCTAACTGGTTGCTGGCTAGCTAGCTAAGTCAATGTTTCATTCTACGTCGTCACTCAGGGCTCCTTCTTGGATAGTTTGACTCAAATTCACAACAGAGAACTCAATCAAGTCTTTTTCACAAATAGTGAACCACTGCTCACAGATCAGCCGCGACTGACAAGCATGGCAAATAACCAGTAGAGCTAAGCGAACGTAGCATTCTATAGCTTGACTCCAATTCAAAGTCCTTCATTCTCAAAAAGACAACACACATTATCTCCAACTTTCATGAACACTGAAACAGTCGGTCAAAAGTACTTGGACACCACAGCAGTTGTGTCAGTCTGCTCAGAATGAGTTCGCTTACTTCAAAAGTCTTAGCGAGACCATCATCGCCCCGCTGTTTTTTGTTCACTAGCAGAGTTTTTTGTTTTCTTGTCCCCCCTTCCCCCCGCAGAGGTTTGACGAGCTGCTCCAACTGGCCTCGAAGGGGCAGCACACCAGCGTGGACATGCTGGTCAAAGACATTTACGGAGGGTCCTACGGCTCTCTGGGCCTCACTGGCGACTTGATTGCCAGCAGCTTTGGGAAGTCAGCCACGGCGGACAAAGGTGAAGCACAGAGTTACCCTTTTCCTCTGCGATGCCGTGGCCAGAAGAGTGTAGCTCTGGTTTTTGGTGCCTTTCAGAATTCTCCAAAGAAGACATGGCAAAGAGTTTGTTACACATGATCAGCAACGACATCGGGCAGCTGGCCTGCCTGTACGCCAAACTCCACCAGCTGTCGCGGGTCTACTTTGGGGGCTTTTTCATTCGGGGGCATCCGGTTACCATGCACACCATCACCTACAGCATCAACTTCTTCACCAAGGCAATGCTGACGTCAAACCTGAAGACAGAGCTTCACATTGCAGTTGTGGGCCACATTTACAATGAAACATTTTTGTGTGCAGGGTGAGGTGCAGGCCTTATTCCTGAGACATGAAGGCTATCTGGGAGCCATCGGGGCTTTTCTCAAAGGAGCGGAGGAAGACAGTAAGAGCGTTGGATTCATTTTACTTAAAATATTTCCCTCCATTTTTTTTTTTTTTTAGCAATACTTAAGCTACACAATACAGGCATTGTTTTTTTTACCTTTTTTTTTCAGCACTCTACATTCCCACTCAGGCGTCAAAAAAGACAAAATAAGTCTGCACAAAAGTCAAGCAGATGCTTGCAAAAGTTTAGTCAAGTGTGTATTATTTATTTTTTTACAATAGTAGTGAGGATAACAGTATGGCATTTCGCGAATGTTTTAATTTTTTAAAATGCACACAAAGACATAATTGTTGTACCCTTCTGAGAGAGAGAGAGAATCAAAATTCTGATCCTGTGTTCTTATTTGTGGGACTTTATCCCCCCACAGTGAGATGATGTGAATAATGCATCTTTAATTTGCCTGACTGTATTGTTATTTGTCACGTGACTATGACATTCCGATCGCATGCCATATACTAACGCTGTATATGTTTGATGCAGATCCAAACCAGTACAGCTGGGGGGAGAATTACGCGGGAAGCTCCGGCCTGCTGAGTATTTCTCCGGAAATGAATCCCATGCAACGCGCGCGAAGTGGAACGGTGAGACTTCCTATACGCGTCAAACATCACAATCACCATCCCTGTTCCTTCCTTTACACGACTTCCTTGTAATCATTACGCGTCATCTGTGATTGACTCTCTTGTGAAATCGCATCTGTCCTCATCATCTTCTTCTTTTGATTTTCTTCTGTCTCGCAAACTTCAGTTCCCCGTAAGTACCTCCGACCGGCCCTAACCTTTGTACGCTGCTGACTCACCTCCTTGCACATTTTGTTGTGCGCCGGGTTTGAGTTTTGCAGAAGACAAAGTTGCATCTGTTACATTTTCTTTTCTTGCTTTGTTAGTATTTAATACGATGTGCCGCATGTCAGCTGGCAACAAGCATCCAGAGCTAACGTTTTAACATTTTGCACCTGTCTTTTGCTGCTGTTCTAATTTCTAAAACGTGATGAATCATAAATCGATATTTCACAAAACCTTTATTAACCGTGCAGGGACTGTTTTGTTTTGCATTTCAACGTTCACCGCTGTCTTACGAGCACAAAGAGACGTGAACCACAGTGTAATAAAACTACACGAAAGTAAAACTACTCACCCTTTAAGAGAGCGTTTACAGAGCGATTCTAACACCTAAAGGTTTTTTTTGTATTGCTATGCTAATTCGGTTTAAAATTAAAATCTGCTTTTTTTTCTCAAAAGTCTAAAATCTGTTCAGATTTTGTTTACCCCTTATTAAAATCAAAATATTTTTGATTTTTTGTTTTTTTTTTTTTAATCTATAATTTTTTTTTCTCCAGGCTTTAATTTGCATCAACTTCTACAAAAATGATAAAAAATAAGAAAAAAAGCCATCTTTCTCGTAGATTTTGAGGACCACAATGAAAATAAGCACTTGGCCTTGATTGTGTATCCTCGGTGATGCCCGACTGAGAGACGGGAAATTTCATTGTGCTGTCTTCTGTGCTTCGATCGGTCGGTCGGTCAGTCATTTTTTTTCAAAACATGAATGGAGACACAGTCCTTAATAACTTCACATGTTCAATGCTGAGCGATTGAACATTGTCATTGGAAAACGCAGTAATTTGGCAACACTTTTGCTTGATTTTGAAAACAAGCCTTTGCTATGTTTCCATAACTCTCATTTATGGCTTTATGATTGTCATCATACTTCAAATCTATCAGTGATGCCAAACCAGAATGTTTATTTTTTATTCATTTATTTTTTCGGGAATAGTTTGGTTGCCTTTGCATGATCTTGTCCGTGCCGTGTCGCAGTTCGACATGCTGGAGATGGACCGTCTGGAGAGGCAGCTGGTGAATCTCCATCTGCTGCAGGACCCGTCTTCCTACATCCCTGACACGGTGGACCTCACTGAGGACGCCCCGGCCCGCGAATACTGGCTGGACTGCTTCGAGGAGGCCCTCGACGGAGTGAGATCACACTTCCGACACAACACGCAGCAGCATATTTCTGCTTTGAGTTCCACTTTAAGCTTGGCGACTTTTTCGCTATGCTCTCCACCTATGATGGGTGGGTCTGGAACACATCCCCCGCTATTCAACGGCCTCACTGCAAAGGCACGCCATCTTGACACGTGACGAGTCTCCTCGTTGTTCCGTGCAGGTGGTGAAGCGAGCAGTGGCCAGCCAGCCCGACATGGCCGAGTCGGTGGAGCGGGCCGAGAAATTCCGTCACAAATACAGACACAAGCTTCAGACTTTGCGCCACCAACCTTTGTGAGACACTCCGACACAGAATTTGAACGCTTGCCGTATGTGTGTGTGTTTCGTCTATGGCTAACGTAGCTTTCTTTCTCATCACCCAGCGCTTACGGGTCCCTCACGGTCCGAAGTCTGCTGGACACGAGGGAGCACTGTTTAAACGAGTTCAATTTTCCAGATCCCTACTCCAAGGTTGAACTTCGCTCTGCCCACCACAAATGTTTGTTCTCTTGCACTCATACACGTTTAATTTTTCATCTCGTCCCGGTCTCTTGTATACGTGTGTGCTTTCAGATCAAACAGAAGGAGAACGACAGCGCGCTCAAGTACTACCAGAAGGCCGTCAGGTCTCTGGAGGAGCTGAGCTGGGAGCAGAGACAGTTTGCGCTCGTCCGGGGCGTCCTGGCCGGCAACGTCTTCGACTGGGGAGCCAAAGCCGTCTCTGAGTGAGTACGCTGCCAATGAGGGGCCAGCCCCGCAATGAATTTCCTTGTTTAGAAACACGTTAGAATTTTTGGGATGGTGTTTTATGGGGTGCTGGAACGGATCAATGGTATTTCCACTCATTTCAATGGGTCAAAATTAGATTAGATTAGATTAGATATCCTTTATTTGTCCCACACTGGGGAAATTTACAGCCTTCAGCAGCAAGATTGTGGGTAGAAAGAAGAGAAAAGAAAATGATTTGAGATTCAAGTGGTTTTATACAACTTTTTCGAAACGTTATTTTTGCTTTATTATAAAGTGTGCCTGTGTGTTGATTTGGTATTTTGGTTTACTCGTAGGCCTCGGGCAGGGGTCACCGACCAGATTTTTGACTGTGCAGGTGTATCTAATCAAGTGTCCAATGAATGACTTGCAAAGTCCTCTTTCCTCTTTCTCATGTATAGCGTCCTTGACTCAGACCCCGAGTTTGGCTTCGAGGAGGCAAAGAGGCAGCTGGAAGGTAGTAATGTGATCAAGCCCCCCCCCCCCACCCCCACCCCCAAACAACAAAAAAGAGACAAGCTTGTACGCGGCATCAAAATTCTTTCATGTTCTTCCTTCAGAGCGGCCGTGGCTCGTGGATTCATACGATCAATGGCTCCAGAGACTTAAGGTCACTTGGTGATCGTAACACACCTCGCCATCATATTTCTTGTGTCCTGTTTGCTGTTGCTCGCTCGGCAATGAGTGCTTGAATGGTTGTGTCTTACAGGGGCGTCCTCACAAGTGTGCCTTGTTTTTCGTAGATAATAGCGGCGTAGACATCATTCTAGGAGTGATGCCTTTTGTCAGGGAGCTGCTCTCTCGGGGAACGGAGGTAAGACCGAGACCTGGGGCCCCTCCCGTACGCTGCCCGGACAAAAGCATTGGGACCCCCCGGGCTGCTGTTTTTGGTTAGCGTAAAAATATAAGGCATCCGCCTATAATGACGATTGGGCTCAGTGGAATATAAAATACAGCAGAATATCAACTGAATTAAAGAAAAAAAAAGTACCAAAAACTGTTCAATTCTTTTGACTCTATTTAATGATGTCAATACTCTTCATGTTTTTATGAAACCCAGATAACCATTCCTATTTCATTTTTCTTGTCAAACGACCTCACATCTATTTGCAACTGTTGTTTATTGTTTTCCTTTGTGTAGGTGGTGCTGGCGAGCAACTCTGGTCCGGCCCTGAACGATGTCACAAATGGGGAGCTGCAGATTCTGACCGAGAGGATCGCCGCCATGGATCCGGTCATTCAGTGAGTGCCGACCAAGACGCCGGTAAACTCGTCATCTGGTCACTTTGAGATCATCAACCAGCGTGTGAACTTGTGCAGGGCGGGGCTAAAGGACGACAGGTTGACCTTGATTCAGAGCGGTTCCAGTTCTCCCTGCCTGGATCTCAGGTAGGAAGCGATGCCCATCACAGCCCAACTCACCTTCCTCAGCCCCGTACTATATTGCGGCTCAAATTAAGCCACATTCTCATCATCTTTTTTTGCCTCATCAATTCAGACATTTTATTCATTTTCATGTTTAAAAAATCCCAAATAACAGTAGCTATGTTGTTATTATCTTGACTAACAAATAAGCCAAATTCATTTGCATGACATTACGTCTACACACTGGAAATGTCAAACTGTCAACATCATCCATCCTTTAATTCACTTAACTGAACGGTCAAGTGTACAAACCAAAATAAGCTCACCACTGTTAACATGAAGATGCACCCCAAACTTCAGTTTTTAACATTCTTGACTGTCTTGCAAGCCAACAAGTAAAAATGATTTATGGATGGATCTGTTAACGTGCCCCCAGCGATCGACGCGGGTTCACTGTGGTGTACACGTGACGACTCGTTTTGTCGTGTGTCCCATCCAGCCGCCTGGACAAAGTCTTGGCCATGGTGGTGCGCGAGCGTCACACCGACCTGGTGATCATTGAGGGTATGGGCCGGGCCATCCACACCAATTACTATGCGACGCTCAGCTGCGAGAGCCTCAAGATGGCCGTCATCAAGAACTCCTGGCTGGCCGATCGCCTCGGCGGTAAACTCTTCAGCGTGGTCTTCAAGTACGAGGTGCCGGCCAGGGGAGCCCACGCCAATGCCGTGTGAGCGGATGCCTTTGTGGACTGAACATCATGAATGTAAGGAGGATGAGTGAATGTTTTACAGGCGCAAGGGAAGTGTTACATTTACTGTATTTCACAAGCGTCATTGTTTTAATGTTTTGGTTCATTTAGTTCACTCGGCTGGATTTAAGCTGTGGGTCCAAGTGACCAATTTCAATTTATTGCCCTACATCATATTTATTTTTCAGACTATTTATTCACAATAAGCTACGAGGACAAGGGACCGCACCCTCCCGTGAATAGTAAACGTCTGCAAAGAGTAGATACATTCACAAAAGGGGTTTGCAATTGTGTATAGATGCCACAAAATGGTAGCAAAGCAGTTTAAACTGTGAGGATCATAAAGCATCAACACTATGCTGCTTCAGGCATTGGGGTCGGCAACCTGATGTACTCAAAGAGCCACTCAGCCATCTCCCACAGAAAAAAAAAAAAAAACACCTTATATATTCTGCCATGTTCAAAGAGCTCAGTAATTCTTGGTGCCGGTGTTGCACATTGGCACTGCTTGTGACGCATATTTTGAACAACGTAAAAAAAAAAAAAAATCACATTTCGATTTACATTTGAAAGACAAAAGACATAGTTTAATTTGATTTGAAACACTGATTTATTTTCCCAAATCACAGAGCCACAGCAGGAGGACGAAAGAGTCACAGGACGGCTCTGGAGTCGCAGGTTGCAGACCCCTGTTCTAGCATGTACACAATCATGAGCCCATGTTACATAAACGACTGTATTCAGTATTTCAGATATCAAACAAAAACAAACCAGCCGCTGGTGTTGTCAATTATTTTCATATTTGACTTAATGATGGATGTTTTTTTTTTTTTTTTACATGTTTATTTTCGCTTGCATTAGCAGACATCTGATATGAATTAATTTTTTGAAACATATTTGGACCAGGCCTGATTCCGATTTGAATTAATTCGATTGGGTGCGTTTATTTCTCTAAACGCTCCCATGACTTTATCCCATTTGTGTCACTTGAAAGTAAAGTAGTGGAAATTGTGTCATGTGAACCTTGCGGCATAAATCCAGCTTTAGTGGCACTCAGGATTTGGGAAGTTCCACTGAAGCCACCGGTCCTTTTTTTTTTTCCGCCCCGTGCATTTCTTACTCAAAAGTGCAGTTTATGTGCCTTGGGGCTGATGGAAAGAAAGAATTTTAACTTCCGTGACGGCTCCATAGACACGCGTATTACTGTACTGCACTGTAAAACTGTCAAGCAGTGGTTCTCAAACTGCCTGGGGATCCGCAATAAAATTTTGTTGCATCGTTTAAAAAAAAAAATTTTAAAAAAAAGTTTACGTGCACATGGGTACTGGTGTGCCCCCACCAAAAAAATGAGCACACTAAATCAGTTACTCCTCTTGCCCTTAGCTTTAGGCCCAGTAAAAGATCTAATGTGATTTTGACACAATGGTTATAAAAGGTCTACACACCCCAGGTTTTTGTGATACAACAAAATGCAGTCTGAGAACCCCCGGCTGTCAAATGACTCTTGTAAGCACAATAGCAAGTGCGATATCAGCCAGCGCCTCCACAAGGTGGCGGTGTTGTGCCGTGATGAAACAAATTCCTGGTCATCGAGATCACACTCTCATGTTGATGATATCGGACAGGGAGCTTCCATTCGTTCATTCAGGTGGAGAGAAAGAACAATTTAAGGTGACTTAAGTAGTGAATTGTGTTTCTCATTGCAGTGCATCTGTACAGTTTTTGTGTTCTAATCATGTATAGAAAGCACATTTGCTTCATTATTCTTCTGATTCACTTTTCTTGAAAAACAACGACCAAAAAAAAAAAAAAAAAATCTGCTGTGTTTTCATTTGTGAAAGTGGATCACGACTGAGGCCGCCTGCGCACATGATCTGCCGGCTGTATTAAAGCTTGACGCGGCCATATCAGGCACTTGATGCCTGCTGAGAAGCTGCGGGCTGCAAGCGTACGAGGAGGCCCACCGGGGGGTCTTCTCTGTAGTTCGTCTTGCTCCACATACACGCATACACAAATTCTGCCTGACACCGGCACTGCCGTATTCAAGCAAAATTTCCCATCAAAAGTTGGTGAGTACACTATGTATGTGGTTTTTGTGCCTGGGCCAAAGCAACATGTCGAGATCTTGTGGCATTTTGGTGCCTAGAACTTTGTGGAAGTGAATTAACTCAAATCAACTCAGAAATTAAGGAGTTCATTGTCGTGATTTGCTGGCAAGTTGGTGTCCAAGGACTTTGTCGAGGCAAGTTGAGCAGCTTCATGTCATCGTCGTCATCTTGGTACAGGAGAACTTTGTCAAAATGAGTTGAGGAACTTCATGTCGCATTTTGCCGCCATCTTGTGGCTTCCTGTAGGCGTTTATACACTTTTTTTTCCCAATGACTAATTTTGTATTAACTTGGGCTTTGGCGCCATCTTACGTCCTTGCAGAAAGAGCAGAAAATCGGACTGCTGAGTTTTCCCGACAGAACGTGCGTGAAACACACCCAAACGTAACTAACAGGCTTCCATTCCAGAGGCACCGCTATACTTATTTAGGGCGGCGTTTGATGCATACTGAAGCTCGACAGAGACAGATTTATTTATTAGACAGAGGAAATTGGTTTCCTTCCGCGGCGACTTGTGCAAATTTGCGCTTGTGCCTTGTGGCGCCGTGTATTTCAAATGAGCGGCGCTGTTGACAGTTAAGTCGTGAATTGTGTGGCGGTACGCGCAAATGAATTGCAAGTGAAAATGTACTCCCGATCCGATTGGCGCCTTATTAAAAGTGGTAAGCGGCCTATGGGCTTATGAGAACAAGAAAAAAAAAAACTGACAAAGAACCCCCTTGAGTGTACACACACACACACACACACACATTGAGTGTATACACACACACATACACACACACACACACACACACACACACACACACACACACACACACACACACACGATGTTACCATTGCTACACTTCACCAGAGTGACACATCGCACTTGTTATCTGTCGCAAGCAGGCCACATATTACACTCAGCTTTAAGTATTTAAATCAAATTAGCCCGTTTGAATAATACTAAGAACTCTTTCTTTTCGTCACATATTTTCACAGACTTCCTTTGGAAATGCCAAACATTTCCCTCCAGATGTGTGAGCAGCGTACATTTGGTGTCTTGCCGGCATTTGTATTGCTCCCAGCACGGCTGTGAGTGAGCGCGCATGCTGGATGTTTACTTCCCACTGTGACGCTTTCACCTTCATCTCAAATGAGAGATGCTCGCAGCTACATCCAGCGTGAAGTGCTGGTCTCTCTGCATCACTGAGATGTGTTTGTCCCTGTGTGCTGAAATGAGATCGTCACTCCGCATTTAGTTTTAGGTGAACATCACTGCATCCGCTTTGATTGGATTGCCACTCTGCACCCATTCTAAAGAAGTCAGTCATCTCCCCGCATCCGTTTTAGGACGCTCACCTCTCGGCGTCCTCTCTCGTGTCATTGTCTCTCTGCGTCCTCTCCAATAGAATCATCTCTCTGCATCCAGTATCATGCCAGCATCACTGTGCAGCTACTGGAGGCGGGGATGTGCTCATCTCCCTGCATCCAGAATTATGGGTGCTCTTCTCTGCATCCATTTTCACTCTGAATCCAGTCTGGCGCAGTCGTTTGACCGAATCCAGTGCAATGCGATTGGCATTCAGCATCCACTGCGTGACGGTCGTTTCTCCATTCACTGCAATGGTCACGTCTCTCTGCATCGAGTATGAGTTGATCTCTCTGCGTCCACTTTGAGGTGCTCGCTTCTCTGCATCCTCCCCGATGTCATGGTCTCTATCATCACTCTGCATTTGCTCAGGATGGAAACGTGCTGGTGTCCCTGGATGCGGTATGAGGTGATCGTCTCGCTCTGGATCTACATCCACTGCGATTTGCTTGTCACTCTGCATCCAGAAGAAGTGCTCACCATTCGGCACCCACTCTGATGTCATCATCTTTCTTTATCCAGCGTAATGCTTTCAACACACCACATCGTCTGCTCTTGGCATCGAGTGTAATATGCTCATTTCCATGCATCCGGAATTAGGCACTCTTCTCTGCGTCCAGTTTGAGTTGATCGGAACTCTGAATTATCGATGAAGTGTGCTTCTTCCGAGAGCTACTCTAATATGATCATCTCTCTGCATCCACACCAAGGCACTTAATCTCTGCGTGCGCCGCACGTCGATTTGCATCCACTGAGATACAACTTTCTTTCCGCATTCACCCGAATCATCACTCTGTCTGCAAAGTATGCCTGTCGCCAGTGAAATACTTTTATCACTTTGCATCAACCGGGATGCGCTCGTCTCTCTACATTCATGTATGAGCTCTCGGATCTCTGTATCCAACGTGATAATACAGCGTCACTCTGCATCTACTGGGATGTCTCAGCATCCACGTCGAGGCGCTCTCTTCTGTGCATTCACGCGATGCTGTCATCCCTCAGAATCCACTGGGGGATCACGATGGAAAACTCTTGCTTTTATTCGATCATGCGACATTTTTTTACTTGATATGTTTTGGGATTAATTTTTGTCGACATAATGATGTTTATTGGGTAGCAAGTTGCTTCCTGGTTAATGAGGAATAACAGATAGGACTGTACCTTTTTGAATTATGAGGTGAGGGAGAAAACAATCAGAAGAGCAAAAAAACTTTTTCACGTTTGCAGATCAGTAGGCTACTTCCTGGTTTACAAGATTTTTTTTCAAAATGCAGATGGTACAACAGTATTAAATAAGAAGCAATTGTAGGAACCTTTACAAATACAATATTAAAAAAACAAACAAACAATCAGTCAAAGTAGCGATCAAGAAATTCAGAAGGTATGATTTGGGAAATAACTGCTCACTGGAATGTCTCCCATGTGACGTCATTTTCTATCGTCCCCACCGCGGCAAGCGCAATCGATATACGCCACAAGTCAATCGCGGACAGGCCCCTCCTCTTTCCCGGGCGTGGACGAGGACGTCAACCCGGGGGGCGCGCGCGCGCACGGAGCCGCCTGCCATTCTCGCCGTGTGGCTCTCGCTGCCTGCCGTGCCGTCTGTACGAGAAGCCGCGGCAGAGTGTCGATGCGCGCCGGCAGCGGCACGGTACCAGCCGAGGTTCCAGCCAAGGTTTCCGCCGCCCGCAGCGACGTCACCAGCGCGCAGCTGCTCCAAACAACAAACGCAGGTGAGCCGCCCTTGACCTTTTTGGTGTGTTTCCTGTGAAATAGCTCAATGTTCCAGCGGCCCTTCACACTCATTCAAACGGAGCTTTTCGCGGGCTCATTTGGTTCTCTTTCTGTCGAGTATAAAGTTCTTCGTTCTCAGATTTTCCCTGTGGTGCCTAACTCTTGTTTAGAAACAACCTGATGATCAGTTGCACTTAGAGCTAGAAATGATGAAATATTAACGTCTGACAAATTACAGCGTATCATATCAGAGTAGAGTAGTGGGGCAAGGGACAATACGCGTATAATTGACTTCATTATAAATGCTTTGGGGGGAGGGGGATAGGTTTCCTTTCCTTAACCCCCCCCCCCACACACACACACACAAAAAAAAGGTGAATAAGCCCTCTCCGTGAAAAAAGAGACTAAAACACACACACACACACACACACACACACACACACACACAAAATACATATACTGTACGGGTATATAAAAACATATTGGCTGTAAAAATCCACAAATGGGTTAGGCTGCAGTGAATCAAAAAACTTTTCCTCCCGATTTTTGGTGACTATGCGGGCATCCACTGTAAGTCGAATCTAATTCATCTCCTTACTAACAAATGTCAACTTTATGCACTGAAAATGAGTTTTTAACAATTTTGGACGAGTTGATGTTCTTTTTTTTTTTTTAATCTGAAAAATGTCTCCTTTATGTTTCAGTTTATTTTAAGAACTACAAATTGACCGTTGTATCATAAAACACATGCATTTTCAGTTCACTCTTTACAAATTCGCCTGTTTGTTTCTTATTTGCTGATTTTGTACCGTCGCTCTACTGCTCTAAGATGCCACAAGATGGCGCCAAAGCTTGGCTAATAGGAACGTCGTAATTGGTGTCAAGGAAGTATGTTGAAGTGATACATCTGGAATGAAGGACAAAGATCTTTGTGTGTCGGGGAGGAGCCTGGCCCGGTCAGACTTTTCTGTGTGGCATTTTCTCGAATATTTGAAGAAAATCTTTTTTCCGGGTACGCCGGCTTCCTCCCACATTCCAAAATAACGGCCACTCCTTTCACAAAACCAATTCCTAAATTCCCAATTTGGAATTGAGGACTGCATACCGAGTGGTGTGGGCCTTCAGCTTTACACCCAAGAAGCTTTTTTTTTTTTCTCCTCTCACTTGGTTGATTGTCGTATCTGTGTTGAACAGGTGTCCCAATTTCACAGGCAGCTAACCGCAAAGTATGTTGCTGTTTTTTTGGGGGGGGGGGGAATCTTCCACAGGCACGTTCCGTTTAAAAACGGCAGCCTTTGATTTGCCTCCTCATCTTATTTCTTCCTCCTCCATCTCCATCCTTTTGTCTATTTGCCGCTCTTGGCTCTGCGGGGAGCCGCTGGTGTGTTGGAACTCGCCTCGGTCGGGTGGGTGTCTGGGGGATGTTCACCCGCTGTGCATGCGTGCGCGCAAGGCCCTGGCGAAAGCTCGATAAGGGCCCCATGTGGAGATTTTGCCGATGCCGCCGAGCAGCAGACGCAAGGCTCCACTTCTCAGACTCGCCTCCGCATTTGGTTCTCCTCAGGTTCCGCTGCGACTCGTTTATGGACAGATGGAGCGTCCTCATCTTTTTTTTTTTTTTTTGTGTTTTCTGCTCAATACCCGCTTTAACAGCCAATCTATACTGACGAGCTGCTAAAATGAGTGTGAAAAAGCTGCTGTTGTATCTGCGAAGGCGTTGAAGCCAAGGGTGGTTCGCACTGCTGACTCTTGAGTCGGCATGCTCTTTGGAGATTCTAAAATGGCGTCAGTAATGCAAGAATTAGGTTCATTGAGGACTTGTCTTCAAAGTTTATAAAGCCTCGATGGAGGACTTCATTATTTGCAATCAGCGTGCATAACAAAGTGTAAATGGTCTTCAATGCTTCTGTGTGCTCGGTTTAATGACGACTTGGCTGTTTCCCAAAAAAAAAAAAAAAAAAAACATTCATTAAATTGACTTTGACATGTCTAAAAAAATGTGCCTTGCGATTGGCTGGCAACCAGTTCAGGTTTCCTCCAGCTATAGATTCATAAAAAAAAGTAACACTACAAAAACTAAAATGAAGCATTTTGGAACAAATAAAAACAAACAAACCTGTTCCAAAGATGAATTAAAACTATGAACAAAGTGAAATACAAAAAAAAAAAAAAAAAAAAAAAAAAATCCCAAACTATTCCGTGTAACGCCGGTGCAGACCTCATCCCGGAAGGGTTGTAAAAACCAATGTCGAGCAGAAAATCGAACTACTGGATGTGCAGGGCCCCAACAACCAATTCCACCCCCTCTGGTTGTACAGCAGTCATCAGCAGAGTGACTGTGGCCTCCGATATCGGGGGAGGGTCTCGAGGGGTGCGGCGTGCTCTTTGCTTCTGCATCCTTTTGTCTGCCGCATCCATTGGGTTGCTATGAGAGATCCGGAGAAGAGGAGCAGCAGATGGCGGCTGGAGGTTTGCCGTCACAGCCGGTGTTTT